CCAAGAGTATTCATGCCATGGCCTCTGCTTCAGCACCTCTCTGCTTCACTTGAGGAAGTCCATATTGATTCCTTAATGATTTAGATCATCAACCATAGGTAGCAGTTCCTACTGACAAAGCCACCAACCTTTAGCAGGCTTGGACAAATGCCACACCTCTCTGTTTCCCGATCACTATGAGCCCTCTACTACCTGAGCATAACCCTGTGTGCATGCCGGCTTCACCAATTCCAAGGAACACGGAAGCCACATTCTGTTCTGAATTCACAGCCCATGACAGAACACTGCGAGTAGGACAGCGCCCCCCTCCCCGAGTATAAGAACCCCAAATAGGATCTTCTAAAAGTCACTCTGAGTGAAAAGCATGCAGGGCCAGAGTGGTCCCTCAATAAGCATGCATTAAGCAAGTGCCATTACCAAGCAAGGAAGCAATGCATACAAAAACTCAAATATGGGTTGCTCAAGGTGGTGTTAATGGGTAGGGCCAGAACTCCAAAACATAGTGAGCCAAGTGCAACACTGCAGAATCACCTGGACAGCAGAACCTAGTGCTCTCCAAGTCAAAGAGCAAGCTTTCAGAAAAATAGTATACTCTTTGGATCTCTGAAAGACAGCTACAGCATCTTCTACAAACCTCCAGAATATGATTTATTTTATCATTGACTGGGAAAGGGAAGAATGACACTGGGGAATTATTTAATAGTAATATTCTCCAAGGAACCACAAATGTGTCACTTTTCTGTGCAAATGGGTGTTTGAAATAGAAAAAAATAGCATGTAGATATAAATTATGCAACATTTTTGTGCTTTTGGTAGTATGTCTCACAAAAAGGCTAATGTAAAGTAAAAAGAGAATTGAAATGCTTTTTGATTAAATAACAAATGTAGATTAATATTTAAGGGATATTTCTATTTCTATCTATGAGGGTGAACACTTAAAAGAGAGAGAAATGCTTAGAAGACAAATTTAAGATTCATAATTGGTGATGATTTAGTTCTGTAGCTTGGTGATGAAAAACACAACAGTGTTGAAAAGTGGTTCCATGGGTAAATTGTTCACTGTGTGAACATGTGTACCTGAGTTCAAACCTAGAACTGGAGAGATGAAAGTAGATGGATCTCTGAAAGTCCCTAGAGTTAGCCTAGCCCAACTGGGGAGTTCCAGATTTTGAGAAACCCTCTCAAAAAACAAGGTAAAAAAGCAAGTTAGGAATACACCCAAGGTTGATCTCTGGCTTCCATATGCAATCACACACAGATACATGCCTCTGGATAGGCACATATTCATCCTCACATGAACACATCTATACTCACAGATATGCACAGACACAACATACTAAAAGAAAGAAAGAAGAAAGAAAAAAAGAAAGAAAGAAAGAAAGAAAGAAAGAAAGAAAGAAAGAAAGAAAGAAAGAAAGGGCTAATAAAACACAACAGATTTGCCTCCCCACATCCACGTTTAAGTCACTTCTGAGTTGGAAACTGTAACTTCTGAACTCTGCATTTATTATTCCCTTGCCCTCATTGTCTAAGTCCACTGCTATTAAATAATTCCCAAGTACATAAGTAGCACCTACATGTCTTGTTACCGTGATAAAATATTTTGACCAATATTTTGAAGACTAGTGAGGAAGCCATGGCAGCATGAGCTCAAGTCACCATGGCACATTGTATTCATAGTCAGAAGCAGATTAATTTTCAACCCTCCTTTCTATATTCAGTCCAAGACCCAAGTCCACAGAAATTTGTCACCCAGAGTTAAAATTGCATCTTCCAACTATAGTTACCCTAATATAGAAAATCACTGACAGGTATGGCTAGAGGTTTGACTCCCAGATGATTCTTTATTCTGTTGGACTGACAAACAATAGTAACCAGAACAATGAGTAACTTAGTGGGGAACACACAGAAATGTTTGAAGCTAAAAGTCAAAAATCACAGGATCCCTGAGTTCAGCATGTAATATGGGCACAATTTGCTTTGAAGATGGAGAAGACAGAATCTTGGCATATACCCTTCAGAAAGGAGGACCACATACAGAAAGGACAAAAAAAAAAGAGTGGAAATCCCTCTGACCAGCCCTTATATAAAGGAACCTAAGTCCTAATCTCATTCATGAAGGTAGTTCTCATCATTCATCATTCAATTGTCTGCTTTGGACTATATCTTTAATATTCATACCAGGAATTAAGTTTCCACATGAATTTTCTCAGGACAAAGCCATAGCTTCCATTTACCTAGAAATAGTCCTTCCTTGTGTGATCAATATCTCTACGAACAAAGAGAGCATGAGTCATATGTAAAGCAGTTCAGCTCCAAAAACCTGATATAGTAAGGCAGGAAGGCCCCAAGAACAGTGGGTATTCAATCAGATGAAGCCTGAGAAAACAAGCAGAGGCACTCAGTGTGACTGTGTCTACATTCCAGCACTCATGGCAGTCTCTGCAAAGCATAGGCAACAAGAGAGGTGAATTCAAGCCCTCCCCCAACCAAACAATTTTCAGAATACATTTTTTGCATCAAATCCGTAATTGGTCTGAAGGAAGAAATAGTCCAGATCCTGATCAGGTTTTTAGCTCAGAAGCAAGTGAAAGTTTATCTCTGACCCCAGGCTGACAGCAGTTGCTTTGTTCCTTAGCCAAACTGCTAACGTCAGGCTGCAAACCTACGTAAAGGAGTCCAGCAATACTGTCATCTGTAGTCATGTTTGAAGTTGCTACAAACAATTTACAGGTTTCACTTTATCTCTGCCTTTCATTCTGAATATTTACCTCTCCAACAGCACTGCCTAGCCCAGAGATGTTGTGGAGATTGTGCATCAGAGTCAGGTTTCCTCAGAGAGAATGTGAATGACACGTGGAAGAGAAGGCAGCCTCCACTGTAGCTACAGCATAGGCCTGAAGCTTACAGAGGATATGGAGACTACTGAGGTCAACTCACAGTGTGCATATTACAAATTCAGCTTATTCATCAGCAGAAATTAGCATTAAAATCTTCTTGATATATAGTAAAACACGATTCCAAATATCCTGTGTATTTTCATCTACACAGAGATGGAGTATATCACTGGTGTGTCTTGATTTGGTTCATGGACTGTGCAGGAGTAGAGAAACCTAGCTAAGGACTAGGAATGATTGCATTTGTTCTCCTTCTGATCTTGGATATAATATAACTAGCTTCCCCAAGCTCCTGCCTCGACGTCCCCACGATGACAGTAGGTAATTTGGAACTCTGAGACAAATAAACACTGCCTCCCCTGGGTTGCTAGTTGTTGGGGTATTTTATGTTAGCAGCAGACATGGAACTGGGACAACAATTAACTCTGCCAAACTCCTTCTAAGTAACTAACTCTGCCAGAGGGGACACCCTTACAACTTATATTCTGGTAAGTAATAGCTGGTGGATAATGAACACACAAAGTCCTAGCCCAGTTGGGAGCAGCTTTGCATGCCACTCAAACTCAAGAGTTCTGCATAGGTTAGGTCGAGGCCTCTGTTGCACCTTTGCCACAGCTACCCTTTCAGCATAATATTTTGTCCTGAATCTCTCTCAGCATAAATGCATGCCCCCAATTACCTTAGCACCCAGGAAACCTCAATGAGAGCACCAATGCCATTTACTTGGAAGTGTTCTCTCACAAGAATTGGAGGGGCAGGACAGGTCCAGAACATTCATTCCTTGCCACTAAACATTAGGAACAGGAAGTGAACTGGTCAGGAGCAATTCTAATACCCCTGTCTTAGGGTTATGATTGCTGTGATGAAACAACATAACAAAAGCAATTTGGGGAGCAAAGGGTTTATTTCACTCATAGCTCCATATTACATTTCCTCAACAAATACAGTGAGAGCATGAACTCTAACAGGGCAGAAACCTGAAGGCAGGAACTGATACAGCGGCCATAGGGGCTGCTGCTTACTGGCTAGCTCACCTGGGCTTGATCAGCCTGTTTTCTTATAGAACCCAGAACTACCAGCCCAGGGATGGCACCACCCACAGTGGCCCGGGCCCTCTCCCATCAATCACTAATTAGGAAAATGCCATACATCTGGCCCTCATGGAAGCATTTTCTGAGTTGAGGTTCCCTCCTTTCTGATGACCCTAGCTTGTATCAAGTTGACATAAGACTACCCAGGACACATTTCCAGGTGAGAGATAGGTTAAAAACCAAGGGCAAGAGATAGTATACTTTAAGTGTTCTCAAAACAAAAATGATGAATATGTGTGATATAACATGTTAATTGGTTTAATTTAGCCATGCCATTGTGAACATACTGTATTGTGTATTGTAATTGTGCATGACTTTATTTATGAGCTAAATAAATGAATGGGAAAAAAACCAAGGGCAAGACAGATATGTGTAAACAGGTAGGGTTCTCAAGCACAGGATGTGGACCCAAATTGCCATTTTCTTTAAAGGAAAACCCGGATTCCATGTTAGAGGGTGGACTGCCCTTTCCATATCCCAACTTCTTGACAAAACTGAGAAAGGCTGTGTCATACCCCTACGCCCTAGGTGGCTTAATATTGACATAGTCGACAAAGTGGCACTTAGTAATATTTCCTGATTCTGCAAACAGAGAGAAAGAGAAATTTACAGACATGAGAATGACTTTCTCACATACTTTACCACGTTTCACACTTTGTTGAGAAGCCTGCAGAGAACTTCACACTTCATTGAAAATCCATTAAAACAATTACTAGGTCATTAGCATGGACTTTTAAGTACTAGCTTTCAAACTCCCCCACTGCAGGAAACCCTTTGTCAGACCCCCCCCCAGTACCCTTCATAAACCAGGCCAATGGGATTTTAGTAAATAGCCCAGATACATTAAAACATGTTCTCATGGAGGAAAATAGATCTGATCAGGCATGAGAGAAAGAAAATAAGTAGAAATTAGAGAAGAAGGCTGCTGCTAGAGAGATGGCTCAGCAGTAAAGTGCACAGGATGCTCCTGTAAGGACACAGGTTGGAGAACCAACAAGAAGCTCACACATACCTATAAATCCTGATCTAGGGGATCCAACCCCCTCTTCTGGCCTTCACAGGCTTCTGCACTATGTGGTGTCTGTAAAGACAGACAGGTACACATTTAGATACACATAGATAAAACATAAGCAAATACAATATGAAAAGAAATCAGTTATAACGTATTTAAACATTTGAAATCAGGAAGACAATTGGAGGCATGATGTGGGAGGGTAGACAGTGAACACCCAAACCCTATTAAATAAGAGAGACAAGCTTTAGTGATTATAGCCTTGCAAGTATTATGACTATGGTTTTCAGTAATTGCTTGCGTATTCTACAGCAAACTAGAAAAGAGTTTAGAGTCTCTTACCATAAAGATGATATGTGTGTGAGGAGACTGAAATGCTAAATTTTCCGATTCAAGCATTAAAATGTGTGTGTGTGTGTGTGTGTGTGTGTGTGTGTGTGTGTGTGTGTGTGTGTGTGTGTGTGTACCAAATTATCACAGAGTAGCCAAATATGAATAGCTATATTCAATTTGTAAGGAGAAAGAGGAGAGGAAAATTGGTTCAATGGGTAGGACTCTTCCTGCCAAGCTTGAAAACCTGAGTTCAATTCTGGGACTCATATGGAAGGACAGACAGCTCATGCAAGCTGTCCTTCAACTTCCACGTTAGTTCTGAGACACACAACCATTTACACACTTACATGCATAGACACATATGCATACGCACACATACACAAATAAATAAATAGCATAATAAAAAGGAAAAAGGAAACACTACACACACACATGATTCAGACCATGTCACCGTGTATGGTGCACAATAGAACCATACACACCACATTCTCCTCAGCTGCATCGGCTGTAGAAAGGTACAGTAGGTAGATATGTTGGCTGATTCAGGAGTGATCACCAGAATACACTGAGTGACTCCCAAGGCTTAAATTACAATTCTTACCAGTGACACCAGAATTATCTCCAGGCCAAATTTCTTTCTAGATCTTCAAAGCTGATTTTCAAGTGTTCACTTGGCCACTCCCTTAAGGTCAACCCAAATCTCAAATAAAATGTGCCCAAGCAGAGCTTTTTGTTTTCCCCTGTACCTGCCCTCCATCTGCTGTTATTCTTTTCCTTATTGATCTATGCAACAGGCTAAAACTGCACAGATTCAAAGCACACATTTGGTAATTTTGAAGTGTATCGGATATGAAACCATATCAAAGTCAAGACAGTTTATGTAACTATCACTCACCAACATTTCTCATATCTAATTAGGAATGCATTCTTTCTGTGTCTCATCACCCAACCTCCTTTCCCTGTGATGGGTGACCTCAATTGTAAACTTGACACATGTGGGAAGAAGAAACCTACATTGAAGAATTGCCTCCATCAGATTGGCCTTTCTGTGGGGCATTGTCTGGATTATAAACTGAAATATGAGAGCCAAGTCCACTGTGGGCAGTACCAGCCCTAGGCAAGTGTGCCTGGGCTTATGAGAAATGTGACCCTTAGAAAAAAACAGTGCGTACCTTTCCCCCGTGACTTCTGCCTCCACTCCTGCTTGAGTTCTGCCTTGTCTTGAACAGGCAATGGATGGTAACCAGAGATGAAATAGCCCCTCTCCTCCTCACATTGTTTTGGGTCGTGGTGTTTATCACAACAATGGAAAGCAAAATAGACCACTTCACTATAGACACATTCACGTTTTCTTGTGTTTACTTTTTCTGACTTTACCATAATTGAGACCCATTCGAATGTTCACATTTATCATTTCACAAGTGTTAAAATTAACTTCTTTGAATTTCACACTTGTATGCAATGTATTGTGAACATATTAATTCTTCATTCTCCTGTCCACCTCCCATTCCTAATAAACTCCTCTTCCCACCTTGTCCCTCACCTACCTTCATGTATTTTTAACTACTGAGTAGTGTTCTATAGTGTGCCTATACTTACCTACTGATATACTTTATTAATAAACAGTTGAGATCTTTTCTGACATTGCACAACAGTTTTCTGGAGCACTGGGTATGAATGTGTTTAAATTTCTAATGGACTGTCAAAATTCTTTCCAAAAATTGGTTGTGTCAATTTTACACCCTCAGCAAGAATAAATACACGTTTTAGTTGTTTCATTTCTCACCAGTGTATAATGTGATCAGAAATTTTAACATAGACTATTGTACCTGTGGTATTTTCTTTATTGGTATTCAGTTGGCAGTTGCCTAATAGCCATGATACTAATCAAATTTGTATGTTTATGTGAGTTATCTCTTTTTGATGGGATGCTTATTCAAAGTTTTACCACTTTTAGAATATTGTTTGGCTGTTTTACAATTGAACTTTGAAATTTCTTCATATATTTTAGGTAAGTCTCTCACCAGACATATGTCTAGCAAGCACTTTCTTCCCTTATGTGTGTCTTGCTCTATAATTTTCCCATAATATGTTTGAACAGTATCTTTTCATGTTAATGAAGTCCAGTTAGAAAACCCGTTGCTTTATTAAACATGAATTTGATACTGCACCTAAGAACTTTATCTAACTTTGAGACAAATATATTTTCTCCTAAGTTTTTACATTGAAGCCTCAGACACATTTGGAGTTGTTATTTGTATATAATGCATGTCTGTAAGTGTGAATCAGTCTCTCTCTCTCTCTCTCTCTCTCTCTCTCTCTCTCTCTCTCTCTCTGTGTGTGTGTGTGTGTGGGGTGTGTGTCTGTCTGCCTGTCTGTCTGTCTGTCTGTCTCTCTCTATGTTTGTCTCTCTCTGTCTCTGTCTCAGTCTCTCTCTCACACTGTGTGTGTGTGTGTCTCACTCTGTCTCTCTGTCTCTATCTCTGTCTCTATCTCTCTCTGTGTGTGTGTGTCTGTCTCTCTCTATGTTTGTCTCTCTCTGTCTCTGTCTCAGTCTCTCTCTCTCACATGTGTGTGTGTGGGGGGGGTGTCTGTCTGTCTCTCTCACTCTGTCTCTCTGTCTCTGTCTCAGTCTCTCTCTCTCACGTGTGTGTGTGTGTGTGTGTGTGTGTGTGTGTGTGTGTGTGTGTGTGTGTTTGTAGATGTGCACACACTCGTGTGCCCAGAGGCACACGTGCTGGGAACAGGAGTTTATTAATCCCACACAACATTGCTTAGGAAGACTTCATAAATGAATTGCTTTTATACCCTTCTTAAAGTAAATAAATGTCTTCAAGGTGGGCTTCCTCTGGGTCTTCTCTGAGTCTTTGAATCCTCAGACACAGATTGCTCTTTTCCTCTCAGCATAGGGCAGCCACTTCCGAAATGAGTCTTGTTTGTTTCAGACAAGAGGGTGCAAAATGGCCATGGTGTTAGGGGGCTGTTTTCTGTAATGTCAGGATATCATGTTTTGGAATAATATGTCCAAAGCCACAGGTACAACTTTTGTGAATTTTGTTCTTCAGATTTTTCCCTAAGCATTTCATCTTCTCTGTCTCATATTAATGGAGACTTTAAATATTTGTTTCTGTTGTTTGTTGGTACTACACAGAAGCAAACTTGATTTTGTACATTGTTCTTTTATCCTACAGTTTTCTAGGCCTCATTCTTAGCCTAGTTTTACAGTGTTCACCTCATTTCCTCATAGATATGAGGTTGACACCTTCTCTTTTAATATGATTGCTTTTGGGGTCTTTTTCTTATCTTGAGTCATTGGCTAGAAACCCTGGAACAACAATTAGTGCAACCAATACCACCCAGTAGCCATGGGAGGACCCTGGCTAATGCTGGAGGAAACCCTTTCTTTCAAAGAGACTGGAAGTTACAGATTTCTGTTCTCTCTGAATGTTAAAAAGGTCCAAAAAAAAAAAGCAGGCAGGCCTTTAATCCCAGCACCCTGGAGGCAGAGGCAGGAGGATCTCTTTGAGTTCGAGGCCAGCCAGGTCTACAAAGCTGTACAAAGAAACTATGTCTCAAAAAAACAAAAAAGAAAAGAAGAAGAAGAAGAAGATGAAGAAGATGAAGAAGAATCAGGCTTTTGGTTGGGTTTAGCCAATAGAAAATGCTCCCTAATAAATCTTACAGAACCTGAAAAAATTAAACCATTGCAGGTCAATTAACTCTTAATATATTAGATTTGTGAAGACTCCAGCTGGACACAGGTCTGGCAAGTTTAACCATGTGAACAGGTGGTATTTGAGTGAAAAGCTAAAGAATATGAGAGAAAACATTGTAACGATTGTAACGTCTGAGTGTTCACATAATTTACAGTTCTGCCCTGTTCCAACACCATTGATAAATGTTGAGAAGGCCAGAGTGGCTGGACACAGCTGCCAAGAGAGTCAAGAGGGAGAGCAGGGAGAAGTAGGAGAAGATAACGGGAGAACTTGAAAGCTATTTTAAGATTTAACCGGCTAACCCTTAAGAGGTTTTGAGCAGAAAAGTAACTTCATCTGCCTTGAAGCAAAGGTTTGAGGTCGGAACAAACAATCGGAATCTGAGCTAGGAAGAGCAGCTGGAAGGACTGTGGGGGCAATAATAAGACTGTTCAAATCAGTCTCACTCTGGTTTTAGCCAGTGTTTGCTGACAGATCTCATGTTCAGTGTAGAGTTTCCTCTTGAAAGCCATTAAATCCACTCCTAATATGAACTGCATGGCCATGTTTAACATGAAGAAAGGTGGGCAAGTCCTAACTCAGTAACACCTCTCTCCAGAAAAATGTAAAACACTATTTTAAAAGGTGGTTAATATTCTTGTATAACAGCTAAAGAGATATGGAGGCTGGGGTTAACAATTATCAGTCCTCAGTGACTTTATTTAAAAGGATTCTAATTTAAACTCAGTGATTAGCTATCCCATCACCGACAGCATAATACTGTCATTGAAATGTTGGTTTGAATATGGGGCAATTAAGAAAAAGAAACTACTAAGTGTCCAAACCTACTATTTTGTCTTTCATTCTCTTCAGCATTGGCATCTCAATCATTCAGTTTTAATGACCTTGGTCCATTTTAAGGTAAAGTGTGTTTCTTGGCTTCTCATACTGACCTTGGCCTAAAAGCAAGTCCTTGTGTGGGAGTCCTCCATTCTAGGCAGCCGCCTTCCAGAAACAGCCCTTTCCTCAAGCTACAAGCTG